TGAGCAGGGAGCCCGATGCGGGACTCGATCCCGGGACTCCAGGATCATGACCTGAGCCGAAGGCAGTCGCTTAACCAACTGAGCCACCCAGGCGCCCCCAGAATGAAGGAATTTAAAGACCACAGCCCTTCCCCTCAAATTACATCTAGAAAGGGGTCCATAGCTTGTGTCTGATCTCCAGAGTGAAAAATACTCTTAAGCTCGCCGAAGGGCAGGAAATATCAAGGATTTACATCCTAGGCTACAGGCTTTATTCCTAGAAGCAGAGCTATTTGAAGATCATCACAGCTCTGCAGGACTTCCAACAGGCTCACTAAAGAGAAAAGATTTTTCCGTACTTCACAATGGAGAGAAAAATATTAACTTCTGGAACAAAACCCCAAGATCTCCCCAAAGCATTTTCCCTCTTCAGCAGAGGTCAAACGTCCATGAAAGAATCAATCTTAGGGGCACGGTTCCCAGTCAGATGCCTAGCAACTTGTTAATGAGATGAGGAAATTGTAACCTCTTAATCCATTCTTCTCCAACCAAAGCCCAGGATGCTGATGGGATAATAGATCCCCTGACAAGAACAAATCTCCTCTAGTCACAGAAGTCAAGTCCAAGGGTTCACTATACCTCTGTGTTCATGTCACAGTCCAGAGTCTGTAATTTTTGGAAGCTTATGAGGGACTGAATTATATCTAGTTATAGCACTACCCATTTGGTCATGTTTTAGAACTACACTACTGTTTGAATAGAACTGCATATCTTGATTATTAAATATGACCTTTCTCAGGGAGCCTGGGTGGCTCGGTTGGTGAAGCATCTGACTCTTGGTTCCAGCTCAGGTCATGATCTCAGGGTAGCGAGATTAAGCCCCACACCAGGCTCCAAGCTCAGCGGGAATCTGCTTGCCCCTCTCCCTCCTCCCCTGCCTCTGTCCCACCATTCGCGCTCTTTCTCTAAAATAAATAAATAAAATCTTTAAAATTAAAAATATATGACCTTTCTCTATCATAGATGCCTTTCCTTTTGTCTCTTACAACAAACAATCCTGTTCCACACTCCATGCTACCACTCACTTGGCTAAATGTTTTGCATAAAGATGTAATTAAAACAAGAATAAAATATATACTTCAGTCAAAGTTCGTATCACTTGAGGGTACCCCTATGAAGAACTGGAAATGGTCACTGGTCAAAAACGTCTTGACGCCCCATTATTCCCTGAATATTCCTCGAACCTTCATACCTCTCTGCCTCTGCTGGTGCACGTCTTCCATACCCGGCCCCAGGCCAGCAGCACCAGCTTCTCCTGGACAACTTTCTACAAATGCATACTCTCTCCATACTCCAGACTTACTGAAGCAGAAGTTCAAGAGGTGGAACCCTACAATCTGTGTTTTAGCAAGCTCTCTAGTAATTCTGATGTACAACGAAGGCTGAGAAGCATGAATCTACTACTTAAAGAGCACCTTCTCTGAACTTTGTTCACACATAAAGGGCTTCCTCTACCTCAGGACTATTTTAAATATCCTTTACGAATAGTTTCTTCCTTCCCTGACACTTACAACCACAGATGCTTTTGAGAACAATTCACATATCACAGAGGATTACAGTCATAGCACGTGGATTACAGTGTGTGTATTTCCTCCCTGATACCCTCCCCCATACTAGATGGTGAGCTGCTTCTTGTTAATATTTCCAGAGCTTGGCACATAGCAGGTATCAGTAAGTGTGGACTGTTCTGCCAAAATATTCAAGCAGTCTATATACAATATGTTTTAAAAGATGAGACTACAGCGACCCTAAACCATCTGAATTCATGAGCTTCCTCACAGTGTTGTCTTGACTGGTTCCAGCATACTGACCTTGGGGGCTTTTTCAGCTTTCAGTTTACGAACCACCTCCCCTTGTGCAGCAACTTCATCATAGAGAGATCTACTTTCCACAATACTTGCTGATGACATAGAAGAAACATTCTGTACCACCGCAGGAGGATTTCCAGGTTTATATTCCTGGCCAGTTTTCTCCTTATATTCAGCTTTCAAAGCCAAAAGCTGTTTTACAGCTGCATCTATATCTTCCTTTGCTGCTTTCTTGGATTTTAATTCACGAACCACATCCCCTTGAGCAGCCACTCTGTTGTAAAGGACCAAGGAATCCTCAGATGGAGCACAAGTATTATCCAAAGAAGGACCCGGTCTTTCCTTAAAAGGAGTAGTCGGCTACAAAGGAAGAAAACCAAAAGTGAAATAATTAATTCATGTTAAATGTCCTCTCACAAAATTATATCGAATTGTCATATAACATTTCATGCTATAAAATTAAGTTTTAATCCCTTAAAAAGTTTAAGTAAATAATCTCATTCCTAAAAATTTATCCTAATGAAAAATGACAGAAGTAAACAAAGGTAGAGGTACATGGATATGCACTGAAGCATTTTTATTATAGTAAAAAACTGAAAATCACCTAAATCCTTACCATTAGGGGATTAAAGAAATTATGACATATCCAAAAGATCTGAGAATAAATCATTGTTCCACCACATACTAGCTGTGTGAACTTGAATTAGTTACATAAGCTGTTTCTGGTTTTAACTATAGAAGAAAAGTGACTGTTTTGACCCCATCAGTGTGATGGGAAAATAAAAGGTAATAAATCTGCTTAAAGCTTTTAGTTACAAAGGCTGAGAAAAAGTGAATATTAATAAGTTTCAGGAATTATTAATTTTTTTTAAAAGATATCTAGATTGATGACAAGCAAGTCCTCCAAGAAATACTGAGATACAATTTTAACTCATTACCATGGAACGATTCCATTTTTGTATAAAATTATGTACTTCCAGGCATATGATTATATATAAGTATATGCAATAAACCTAGAGATATGTTCACTAAAATGATCTTTGGGTAGTGAATAACTATGCTATTTTTTATTCTTAATGTCATGCTTTCCTTCTGCCTAGAAAGCTTTCCACCCTACTGACACCCTTCTAAATTTAAAACCCAGCTCATGATCATACCTTCCCCATGACTTTTTTCTTTAATGGCTTTCACTTAATCCATATTCATGAGTCATGTGTATTAACTCCAAAATGTTTCATCTCTACTCTGGAACTCTGTCCTGATCCCAGGCCCAGCATTCTGAATGGTCTTTTCAGACATCTTTACCTGGTTAGCTAAGAAGCACTGCAAGCTACATCAGAGTTGCATTTTCCATGAGGGTCAGGTTCTGAAATCAACATGTAAGTCAAAAACCACATACGTTTGGGGTGCCTGGCTGGCTCAGTTGGTAGAACATGTGACTCTTAATCTCAGGGTTGTGAGTTCAAGCCCCATATTGAGTGTAGAGATTATTAAAAAACAGATATATAAAATCTTAAAAAAAAACAACCCACATATACTCAAAATTACTCCTTTAAAATATTCAACCATAAATGTTAATATGCACATATAAATGCATAATATATATGGTAAAGCAAGAATACAATAAATGGAGCCATTCTGTATCAAAAACATATACATTCTGTTCTGTTACACTTACTTTTGATAACCTGAACTGACTCATTCATGCCTGGTAAACAGGGGAACAGTATTAAAGGTATTAGGGTAACACTGAAAAATCACACCACCTTGTAGTGCTTTCTCCCAGAACATTAATGTTTGATGTCAAAGAAGCATACAGGAAAAAGCTTTCTCACAATTAAAAGAGAAAGCTTTAGAAGTGCCTTCCTTGGGGCACCTGGTGGCTCAGTCGGTTAAGCGTCTGCCTTCGGCTCAGGTCATGATCCCAGGGTTCAGGGATCAAGCCCCATGTCAGGCTCTCTGCTCAGTGGGAAGTCTGCTTCTCCCTCACCCCACTTGTGCTCTCTCCCTCTCTTTCTCAAATAAATAAAATCTAAAAAAAAAAAAAAAAAGAGTGGCTTCCTTGAGTGCAGGTGGTACTTTAAAAACATTGTTCACGGTAACATTAAGCCATCTAATGAAGGTGCAAGTGCAGATAAAGGACTTTCAAAGAGCTATCCTCCTGGGCTTTAAAAACAAGAAAGGAAAAAAAAAAAAAGGATGAGGCAGGATCCACGCTGAGTCAGACTTTAATTCTGATGACACTGCTCTCTGTTAGAGGCAAACACCCTCAAAGACCTACATATCAAAGGAGAGAGCATTAGCCCTAAGGCTTAAGGCTGCCTGCAGTGCTGGATACCAATGCTAGTCAACTGTACTTAAATCTCTATAAGGATCTGTGCAGGTTCCAAAACCTACCCACAAACTTTGACACTCCCTGCATCAAGAGGGGGGTCTAGCCCCTCCCCTTGAATCTGGGCAAGCTTATGAGTGCTTGGACCACAAGCATGGCAGAAATGACACTATGTGAGATTTTCAAGGTTAAAACATAAAAGGCAATGCTGCTTCGATCATGTCTACTGGACACTCACTTCTGGAGCCCTGAGTTGTCATATACAAAGTCTCACTACCCTGACACTACCACGCTAAAGAGGTCACTTGAAGCTGCTTTGTGAGACATTTCCCCCTTCCTAGCCAACAGCTGGCATCAACTGCCACCCACGTGAGTGAGCCACTGTGGATGTCCAGGCTAACAGAGCCTTTGATGACTGCCAACCAGCCACCACTTGACTGAAACTACAGGAGATATACAGGTTCTTAGTGTTCTGCACCAACCCTATTTTTTCTAAAAAACCAGCCCTGTTATTTTTAGTATTGCCACTTTGTAGGACATAAAGTTTCTTAAGAATACACAAACTTCTGAAACCAGTATTACACTATATGTTAACTAACTAGAATTTAAATAAAAATTTGAAAAAAACACAAAAACTTACAGCATTACCCTAACTTCTTTACAGGATACGTGGAAGGTGTGAGGTACTGATGGTAAGTGGGACCAATGAAGGCCTGGGTAGCCACATTTCCCACATCGTGTGTTAAGATTCTCTCTCTCAGACCTCTCCACCTTGAGTACCCCCATTCTCATTCTCTCTCGCTCAAAAAGTAAATAAATAAAATAAAATGAATAAATTCTTTGAAAAACTTGTCAATTTTAACTTTTAGTATAACAAATACTCATAAATATAACCCACATAAAAAGGGTCCTCAATCATTTTTAAGCATGTATAGGGTCTTGAAACTAAAAAGTTTGAAAACTGCCCTATTTATTTATTTTTAAAGATTTTATTTATTTATTTGACAGAGAAAGAGAGCATACAAGCAAGGGGAGCAGCGGGCAGAGGGAGAGGGAGAAGCAGGCTCCCCACTGGCAAGGAGCCTGATGCAGGGCTTGATCCTGGGACCCTGGGATCATGACCTGAGACGAAGGCAGATGCTTAACCGACTGAGCTGACTGGCTGAGATCACATAGTGTTTAATTTGTGTAAATTAAAAGCTCAAGTCATGACATTCCCACTATAAACAGTTCCAAATTCATACCTAATATGATGTGCTTCTGTCTTCCCTAGCTCAAGTGATTTATCATTTATTTACCCATTCAACCACACAAAATTAGGACTTACTGTCTTACTGATTCTACTTCCTGAATTCATGTCCTACTTTTATCTTCCCTGCTCTCATCCTCTGGCTCCCTGACCACTTATCACATCTTCTAATCCTACTTCCAATCCACCTGCCAAAATATCTTCTACACTGTTGCCAAATAGTCAATGCCGACCCAACATCTATAGATCCCAAACTATGCATCAAGGTGCCCGAGGGGGCCACAGGAAATTCATAGGGTTGCCAAACACGGCATGTACTACTCAGGATGGTTCAATTTTAACACGAGAGTATGTTACATTCCTTTCAATGATGTCCTATCTTTGCAAAACTACAATTTCCACAGCTGCTGTGCTAAAATCAAATACTACAGGAAAATCACTATGGAACAGGAAATTAGTAGGGTAGTATCCAATCTGAGTCCAAGATTCAAGAAATATTCTTTTTTCTTTTTTAAGATTTATTTATTCATTAGAGAGAGAGAGAGAGTACACAAGCTAGGGGAGTAGCAGGCAGAGGGAGAGGGAGAAGCCATTGAGCAGGGAGCCTGACACAGGGTTCAATCCGACGGGGGATCATGACCTGAGCCGGAGGCAGATGCTTAACCGACTGAGCCACCCAGGTGCCCTGGTATTATTTTTTTCTTTTGATTAGTGTATCACTTTAAGAATGAAATAAAAATTAAAATATTTAAATTTAAGAACACAATCTTTTAAGAATAAAATTTTTCTTCTCTTTCAACTTATGCGTATTATTTCTTCAAATGACTACTGGCATATGAACATTTATCTAACTTAACTACTTAACAAAGAGAACTGTTAGGAATTTCAGTTAGCCCATGGGTGCCATGAAGAAATTAGCAAGAAACCAAGCGTACTGTGTGAATTGAGGAAGATTGAAGACCTTTGCCTACACTACAGACCCCCTCATTCTCTAACTATGTCTCCAGCTCTCAAATCCACACCCTGTCTCCTAGGGAAGCGGTGTCTCCATCTGGAATGTCCCTCCCAACCCTGACTGCTGGGCAGATTTTGAACTCATTCTTAAGCATAGAGATTAAGCATTATCCACAAGAGGAAAGGAACAGAAAAAGGCAGGAAGTGACACAATTTCCTCTCACCCACATCCTAGCAGTTCCTATTCTTGCTCTCCTTTCTGAACCTCTTCTCTCAGAGGCACTGGAGTTTGACAGAAAAGTATAGTCAGGGAACCAGAAAGCCTGGTCACTGTCCTGACTCTGTCAATAACAACTTTTGTGGGGCGTCTAGGTGGCTCAGGCCATGATCCCAGGGTCCTGGGATCGAGCCCCGCATCGGGCTCCCTGCTCAGTGGGAACCCTGCTTCTCCCTCTCCCACTCCCCCCTGCTTGTGTTCCCTCTCTCGCTGTCTCTCTCTGTCAAATAAATAAATAAAATCTT